AAATAAGATTGAGGAAAAATATTTTTCCTTCCTCAAATGATAAAAAGTCTAACCCTCCAACTTTTATTTCTCCTACCAAAAAGATCATTAATAATTGTACCTTGTTTTGTAACTTCCCACTTAACAAATTCCCACCTCCCTCTGACGCACACCTCCATTATTCCCAAACCACATAAAACTAGGGGTGTCAAATTTTAGGAACCCGACTCGAGCATGACCGACACAAAAATAAAAAATAACACGATAAGTTAAAATGAGTAATAAATAGATCAAATTAAGGTTCGATACGAATAACACGATTAACGGATATTATACATAAAAAATAAGTATTTAACAAGTATTGTAGACATAAAATAAAAAAAATTAATTTTTTAATTTTTTAAATAGTATTATACGAGCTATTGTAAAATTAAATAATTTTTTATTGACACGAACACGACACATACAAAAAGTGATTCAACATAAAATTAACAAGACCAAAAATAATATAACACAAAAATAATACGATACAACACGATTGAGACACTACGTAAAACTATGTTCCTCTGTCTCTCCATATGTTTCTATATAAAAAACCATACTACCAAAAATGCAACTTCCCACACCCATTGACCTTATCCACAACATAATCCCAGCACTAACAAACAATCATCGGTGGGCCTAGCCATTACCTCTTCCTCCTCATTTCTATGCGACACTTGTTGTCTGTCGAGATTGTCGGCCTTGCTAGGCCTCAACTTCGATGTCGTCGGGAGGATGACGCCCACCGTGACGAGGGCTGTCAATCAACTATTTAAGCTTGGCTCAAACTTTATTTAGGTTCGATTTATTTTTTAAACGAGTCCGAAATTGAACAAATTTTTAAAACACGTTTAAAAAACAAAATTGACAGGTTTGACTCAAACTCAATAGACTCGATTCGTTTATATGCAAACACTTGGGCTTAATTCAGATTCGACTCATTTTTAACTCGTTCATGCTCAATTCATTTTATAAACAAATCAAACTTAAATAATTTTTTAACCTTGCGTAATAAAATAAGTTTTTTAAACTCGACTCAAACTCGTGCGACTAACAACCTTACCTGTTATTCTCCAAAATTGGATGACTTTGGTGAGATTTTTACCTTCATTAATTGGAGGGCAATCAAGATTCCTTTTCTTTTTTTTTTTGGACTAATCACAAATTGCATCCTAAAATATCAAAAATCTTAATTTACCCCATCAAAGATAAAAATTTATATTAATGCGCATCTGAAGCTAACAGACATCTAAAAATTAAATGGATAAATTACATCTAAACTTCTTCATGCTTGTCACTTAATCATTTAGATATCTCATATTTGAAATATTACGCCTACATCCTTTGAGAATTCAAATATGACTAAAAATATTCTCCCAATTGGGCATCCAAATAATTATGTTTAAATAATGTATTGCATTAGATATAAAGAATATTATATAAATACCTACATTATATTACGCATTTAAATGGTAAGCTTGATTTTGAACTTTAGAATATAGCGAGCCCACAAAATAAATGGTAGTATGAAAATTATAAATTTTTACTATTATGAAATTATTTTTTAACGGTTATATTAATAGATATCAACAATAAAGAGTTATGTGTTGCACGTGCATAAATGTCATGAGTTGTACGAGTAATATTCTAAATATGAGGGGTCCAAATGATTACATGTCAAACTTAAAATGTCTAAGTGTAACTTATCCAATTAATTTTAGAAGACAAATTGACAGTTGTTAGCTTCAAGTGTGCATTAATACATATTTATATTTTTGAGGATGTAAATTAAGATTTTTGAACTTTAAACGTATAAATTGAGATTCGAATGATCTTTGAGGGTATAATTTACAATTAACCATTTTTTTCCTTAGTTTACGATTTTTATGAGTTCAACCATTTTCAAATTTCATTTCCTCCCTTTCTTTGACAAGGAAAGAGATAGAAATAAGTATTTAATCTCCAATTTCATGGAATTCAGGTTTATTGACTTGAGAAAAATGGTAATCTATATTTTATTTATTATACTTGATGTGTCAGGTCCAACGGCCCAACTCAAGTTAGAAACCTAGTTTGAATTAGGAGTCCAACTAGAAAAGATCCAATGTGTCTAGTCAAAAGAGGTCCACATCCAGTCAATTTTATCAGGGTTCGAGCTGCTACATCACTAAAAGAGTAGACAGGGTCATCCCAAGAGCTTCATCCAAGCCACATTGGAGTAAACGTCAGCCTAAGAGTCTCATTCAAGCCACCTTGGAATAAGGGTCATCCCAAGAGATACCTTGGAGTAAGGGTCATTTCAATAGTCATCTTAGAGTAAGCGTCATCCCAAAAGCCTTATCCAAGCCACCTTAGAGTAAAGGTCATCTCAAGATCTTCATCCAAGTCACCTTGGAGTAAGGGTCATTCCAAAAGCCTCATCCAAGCCACATTGAAGTAAGGTTTATTCAAGAGTCTCATCTACGCCACCTTGGAAGAAGTCAACCACCACGTCATCCTTTCATCGGATCTTATGGGGAAAGTCTTAACTGCCTCATTCGTTGAAAAGATGACATCAACTCCACTAAATTAGTCTTTTAGTTATTAATAAGGCGCCTCAATCTGTTAGGAGGCAACTATAAATTGTAAGCCTCACCAATATTTGGGGAGCATCACACACAATCGAGCACATCTGCTATCACTCTTCCCTGTCACTCATAGCTTGTATTTCCCTGCTCTCCCAACACTCCTCAAAGTAATAAAATACCCAGGCGACCCTAGCCCTTCATAGTGGATGTAGGTCAAGTTGAATGAACTACTCGACATCTTTGTCTTGCTTGTGTTGCTCTCTTACTTCTTAATTATCGCATTAATTACTAATCACTTGACAAGTGGTGCATAATACCAATTTATGTATCATCAGTTTGGCGTCGTCTGTGAGATATGACAAAATTCTCACCTGATCACTTTTTCCTATTATACCAATGACGATCACCATAAGATCCATAAATCAACCTGAAGATAATCCACCATGAGAGGAAGAGGTTGCACCTCCACCAACCAATTTGATTTCGAATGCATAGCAGATGCTGGAAACAATACAGTAGCTTGTGGCTCAAAGTCAACAGATCCTGCAACTGAAGCTCGTTAGACAACAAGTAGGGGCATAGCCTAGAGGACCTCAAGCTAGAGGAGCTCCACACCCTGTGTGCCAAGGAGCTCCTATTTGGGGGCACCCCATATAAGGGAGCCCTACACCAAAACTATGAGGGACCTCCAGCTCCTCCTCAAGCTCCCTCTTCTCATGGTGGAGACTTTCATTTCCAAGAGGATGAGTGCAATAATCAAAGTGTAGAGCATGAAAATCATTTCTATGACAATTCCAAAGGAGCCTCAAATCACTAGAATGAAAAAATCAAAGAAGTACAAAATTAACAGGGCTACGTCTTCAATGCCATAAACGCACAAGGACCAGAAACTGTGGACAAATTGACACACCTTTTTGTGCCAGATGTGGCAAACTACACTCTTCCCCAAAAGTTCAAAATGTCATTCGTCATAAGCTTTGATGGCACAAAAGACCCACTTGATCACCTTGAAACTTATAAATCGTTGATGCAGCTACACAATGTTCCTAACGAAATCATGTGTAGGGCTTTCCCGACTACCTTGAAGGGATTTGTCTGATAGTGGTTCACCAAACTCATCCCAGCCTCCATAGGCTCCTTCGCCGAACTAAGCAGATCCTTTATGACACAGTTCATTGGTGGAAACTGCCAAAAGAAGCCTACCACTCATTTGTTCAGCGTAAAATAGGCTCGAGACGAAAGTCTGGGAAGTTACCTCACTCGTTTTAACGAGGATGTCCTCCAAATCGAGGATCCCAATGACAAAGTCACCATGACTGCTTTTCTAGGAGGCCACCGCTCATCAAATTTCCTCTTTTCTGTAATAAAGTGACCAACAAAGAACATGTCAGAACTATTAGCAAAAGCTCAAAAATATATGAATACTGAAAAAATCAATAGGTCCAGGTGAGATGAATCATCTCACAGGTCACCAAAAGCTCTCCAACTTAGCGGCTCTTTCGCAGGTTGCCAAAGCTTGCCTTATCTCTGCTCTGCTCTCATGCCTCCAGTTTAGCGGCTCTCTCGTGGGTTGCCAAAAACGTGGCCTATTTTTGCTATACTTTTAAGCAGGTAGCATATCTCTCCAGCTTAGCGGCTTTCTCGCAGGTCACCAAAAACTTAACCTATCTCTGTTCTGCTCTCAAGCAGTCAACCTATGTCTCCAGCTTATTGGCTTTCTCACGGGTTTTCAAAAGTTTGATTTATTTTTGTTCTGCTCTCAAGCAGACAACCTATGTCTCCAGTTTAGCAGCTCTCTCGCGGGTCACCAAAAGCTTGGTCTATCTCTACTCTACTTTCAAGTAGGCAACCTATACCTCCAACTTATCGACTCTATCACAGGTCGACAAAAGCTCGACCTGAAAAGGTGTAGCTCTCTTACAAGCAACCCTCAAATTTTATCTTTGTTCTCATACGAACAACCTCACAATTAGCCTACCCTCCAGCTTAATGACTCTCTCACGGTTTCAAGAAGCTCAGTCTCAAGAGTCGCAACTCTCTCACGAGTAACCTCAAACTTTGTCTTTACTCTTATGCAAACAACCTCCATTTCACTATAGGGCAATGTCTCTGCCCCTCTCTCCAGATAATCATGTTGGATAATTTGATATTCAAGTAACATTGTTTTTGCCATCTCTAGGCACATTCTTAAAACTCAAGCCGTCTGCAACCTGAGAGACTACATTAGATTGAATGTCAACAATCAAGCCTCATCATTTTTGTAGCCATCCAACACCGTCGCCTCGTTGCCGCAACGCTCCTGCACTTAACACCTAGCGTAAACAATGCCTATGTGCTCCCAACACTAAGAATTTGGCACCTGCTTGCCTCATGGCACCCCCACCTAGTGCTCTGCCTCCTAGTGCCCCGTTCTTAGCGTGTCCCCACATGGTGCCTAACTCCTGGCATCCCTTCTTCCTGCACTTGTGTAGCCCCATGCCTAGCATCCACAACTACCGCTCCTAGTTCGCCTAACATCGAAGATCCCACTGGCATCGCACGTTCACCAACACACTCGCTAGGCCGTGCGTAAGGCCTGGCGATGCCGCTGCGTGCTCCCCTGGCTGAGCCCAGCCCACAGCGATGCCTTCTCCATGATCAGCACACCCACCAGCCAATGCCCAAAGTGCCTCGCCTTCAAGGTTCTGGGTCACCTCGCTTGGCAGTGCCTCACCCTTAGCAGTGCCCATGAACCTTGCGCATGGCATCTTCGCCCATCCTCGAGGCCTAGTCATGTCTTTGGCACCTCACCACCGGAGCCCACATGTACCCCCTTGTCACCCTCGACGCCCATGGAGCATCCAGGCTCGCCAACACCCGCTGCCTCTCCGGTGCCAGCCTGTACGCTAGTTTCAACGTTGATTGCTCAGTCGTTGCCTACCTCCTCTCTGATGAAAATGACTTCTTGCATCTCCCCTCCTTCATCCGACAACGGTCTCTGGTCACTTAGCTCATGGGTAATCTCCCTAGCCTTACTCAAATTGTTACCACTCATGGTCATGAACCGTATCAAGAATGAAAAGGGGTTATTAGTCAAAAGGAGTCTCCATCAGCCAGAATTCAAATTCAACCAAATGTCCTCTTCTTCAAGTTTCATTGGAAATAGGGCATTTGGGGGGCAAATGATGTGTCAGGCCCAAGGGCTCAACTCAAGTTATAAGCCCAGTTTGAATTAAGTGTCTAACTAGAAAAGATCCAATGGGTCCAGCCCAAAAGAGGTCCATGCCCAGTCAAGCTCATTAGAGTTCGAGGAATTACATCTCCAAGATAGTAGGTAGGGTCATCCCAAGAGCCTCATCCAAGCCACCTTAGAGTAAGCATCATCCCAAAAGCCTCATCCAATCCACCTTGGAGTAAGGACATCCCAAGAGTCTCATCCAAGCCACCTTGTAGTAAGTGTCATCCCAAGAGCCTCATCCAAGCCACCTTGGAGTAAGCGTCATCCCAATAATCTCATTTAAGACACCTTGGAGTAAGGTCGTCTAAGAGCCTCATCTACGCCTCATCACAGCCACCTTGGAGGAAGGGTCATCCAAGAGCCTTATTCATGCCGCCTTGGAAGAAGTCAACCACCACGTCATCTTTTAACTAGATCTTATGGGGAACGCAGTAACAGCCTTATCCGTTGAGAAAATGGTGCCAGCTCCACCAAATTAGCCTTTTATTTACTGACAAGCCGCCTCAATCTTTTAGGAGGTGACTATAAATTATAAGCCCACCAATATTTGGGAGGCATCACACACAATTGAGCACAGCTTCTATCACTCTCTCCTGTCTTTTATAGCTTGTATCTCCCTGCTCTACCAATACTCCTCGAAGTAATAAAATACCCAGACGACCTAGCCCTTGATAGTGAATGTAGATCAAGTTGATTGAACCACTCTACATCTTTGTCTTGCTTGTTTTTCTCTCTTACTTCTTAATTACTACATTAATTACTAATCATTTGACAAGTGGTGCATAATACTAATATGTGTATCATCAATACTAGAACTAGATTTCTTAATGCTCTATTTATTTCTTAATGCTCTATTTAAGATGGAATTGAGGTCTTGGGGAGAAACAACTACCCTTTTTTCACAGTACGTGGGCCCCCTGATGTGTTCTTTTCATTGTTTAAACAACTCTCATTGTGGTTTGTCTCTGCTATGATATTTCATTGTCGATGTCCTCTTTTCATGTAGTGTTGTTAGAAGGAGATATAAAATTTTGATATAAATTTATTCTTGTGTACAATAGTAAAACATTCAATATCTAAAAGAAAATGGGTTATGAGACAACATTTTCCAAGTGTTATAAATAAGGGATAAGTTAAAACACTACAAGAAAACAAATAATTTGTCGCTGAAAGTAAATAATTCTCTGCTAAAGGTTTTTAGTGACAAACAAATTTCTTCGCACATTGTGGCAGTAAGCTCATCTCTGAAAATATTTGGCGATAAACAAAAATATCTTCGTTAAAAGTAGAGAATTAGCGACCAAAACTTAGCCTCAAAAAAAAAATCATCTGGTTATTACAAAACAACCTTCGTCACTGAAGGAGTTTTCAATTGTGGTTGAATTTTCTATTTTTGGAGATGACATAGTTTTCGTCACTGAAAATTAAGATACCTCTTGTGACCAACGTAATTTCTTCACCAAACAATGAAAGGATACTTTCTCCCTTAAATAATAGGAAAAAAAATCTATTTGCCACCATAAAATATGGAGATTTTTAGCGTCCAAATTTTGCTCATTGCCAAGCACAATCTTTTAAATATTGGCATTTTATGAATACATTTGTCCCTATAATAATCCAATATATATTCATCAAAATGTTTTAATCATTAAAGACCGTGAAAAATATCCCTTAAAATAAAAAAATCATAATTTCCGAAGCATCCATACAAAAACCCATACTAAAAGATTCATACAAGAACTCATACCAAAAACATTCATCCATAATCTCATACAAAAATCCTACACCAAAACATCCTTGTAATCAAAAACCCATAATAAAAAATATCCAGACACCCCAATATCCAAATGTCACAAGAATTTAAACTACATAAGAGATTGTATAGCCAAATGAACTCCAAGTAATCTATCATCAATCTGCATCACACACAATAAAAGTACTTTAACACAACTAAAAAATTCGTTACTAGAATAAAAAATATTGTACATAAAAATATACATCAATTCAGTTTATAAATTGTAATAATTTGATCTATTTTTGTTTATATCTAGCTACCAAGCCTAAATTTGAGAGTTTGCTTCTCTCTAGGTGTAAATTTTTGAACGTGTGTGTGTGTGTGAGAGAGAGAGAGAGAGTGTGGATTCTGTGTGTGTGTTGTGATAGATTTTGTGTGCGTGAGAGAGAGAGGGGGAGAGAGAGAGTATACAAATTAATTTGTGCTCATGCGTTTTATTCCATTGATGTGTGACATTGTTTTATTTCATCCTTATTTTCTACTTTATTAAGTTAGAAATATATAAAGGACACATGTCCCTTAAGTAACCAACATTTATTTAAAAAAATATTGCCCAATAAATTATTGCAATTCTTTAGCTAACTTCTAAATTGACATGGTGAGAGAAGAGGAATGATAAGAAAGTAAAATGTAAAAAAGATGACAAGTTGTACATGTTGTGCATTGCACAAGTTTGGGCCGCGAGTATATTTATATATGCGAATTACATCCCTCACATCTAAACTTATGAGGGATGCAGTTGAAGATGTGCAGGATTGTGGCCTTGGTGAACAAAAACATAAAGAACTTACTGTTTCTTCACAAAAGTAACCCACATGCACACATGGAATACACAAAAAAAAAAGTGTACTCTGAAAATATGGTATTGCTGACTAAACAATTGATAGTACATAAGATCATATATATAGGAATAATCAAACTCCTACTCATTCACATAATGGAAGGAAACCTCCTAATTTCAAAAAATTTACAAAAAATAAAAAAGTAATTAATGAACATAAAAGCATGTGTCATCTGGTGTGTAACAAAATCTGACAACCTTGAATTTGAAATCCTCTATGATTTATTATTAGTTTTTGATTTTTTTTCTAAAATTCTAAAAATGAGATTTGAGAGCCTAAATAATGGAATTGGGCCCAAAATTGAAGGTGTTCATTGCAAAGCATCGAGTCTTGATTGATGGCCTGATTCGAATTGAACGACACTGGTCCCGCTTCATTGTGATTCCTACAATTTTACCTCTTTATCTCTTTGTAGCTTTTTATTGCACTTTGAATGCATGACGGTCCTCCCACTCCAAAGAATCTGCTTCCACTTGTTCTACATCAGTCGAACCCTCTCAAGTTAACTCATCCTCAAGTTAATTTGTGGAAGCTAAATAGAATCAGAATGGAACTCAAACAAGTCTTGGACTTTGAAACTGCTAGAAATGGTCATACCCGTAGGGAGACAAATAACATAAGCATTTTCATTGATCTTTTTCAAAATTTGGAAGGAACTGATCTTCTTCTTCTTGAGCTTTTTGTAAGTCTCGACTAGTAGAAATAACCAATGAACTTTTTGTTATGGTCTTGGGAATATCATGTAAACGAACAATCTCTTGAAAGAAACACTGAGCCACACGAGTATCTTCTACGATTTTCTCGTGTCACATAAAATGTGCCATTTTGAAAATCCTATAACCAACAACATAAATCGAGTCTATTCCCCGTTAAGTCCACGGAACACCCAACATAAAGTACATCGATAGATCTTTCCAAGGTGCATCTGGTGTAGGTAAAAAAGGGTGTAGAGATCAGTATTCTGCGCATAACCCTTAGTAGTTTGTCACGTGTAGCACTACTTGACAAACCATTTCATATCCCTCTATAGTCGGGGACAAAAATTACGCTCCTCAAAGAAATACTCATATCTCTACCCATATGTTCCCTTAAACCACCACTATGGACTTTCAAATGATGTGCTCACGTAATGATCCTCGGGAATGCAAAGCCAACTGGCTTTGAACAAGAAACCATCTAGGATCCAAAACCCCTCAAAACCCCAAGTGCATCCAGCTAATACCCCCAATGGGCGTAGGATTTCTATGTTCAACCAAGAATAAATATCTTACAACCCATTAATAATAAGTCAGTCCACTAAAGACTTATTATTGAACTCTTGAACCTCATCTCAAAATTATATTCGAGGTCCTTATTATTATAGGCTTTATAATCTCCCTACGTTTAAGATTACAGATGTCCATCAATTAAATAAATCACTGAAAATTATATTTAATTGACTTCTTTTATTCCTTGAGACCTTACCACTCAAATTATTTGTCCTGTTAGATAATTAAATCCATCTGCAAGGTTTGACATGGTAAAAACTTATGAGCTTCCTCAAGAAGATATTATCAACCAATTTAAATATTAGGACGTTGTTTCCTTTAATATTTAATTTTCACCATACAAATAACATTGTCTCCCAATTCATCGAGTTTATTGATCCAATATGAATCTCACTCTTTTATAAATTAATTGCACATGACAAGTAAATATTTAGGGATTAAGAGCATAAGCAATCATAATAATCATGAGGTATTTATTATCTTATTAAATCAATAAAAGATAATAACCTCAACATGAGTCTGTTCAATACACAAAATGTACTAGTGAAATAATCCGAAACATCAAACAATCTCCTATAGTCATGACAGACTATGACAAAATATTACACTACAATCATACCGATTACGTGTCCAATTCTATCTATGATTGTGA